GAACCCGACATGAAGCAGAAGCCAACGAGACAGAGACCAGTACGGAAGAAGATGCGTCTCGTAAAATTAAGATACTTTGTTGAATTGTAATTTTGTGTTTGTAAATTCTGTACATTTAATTAAGTTATTGTTAATTGTTTGTTGGTTTAATGTAAGTGGCTATTGTTCGGAACGAACAATACTAAGGAAGGGGCAGTGTTAAGACAGCGAAGGTCACGTGGCGCTAGTAACACGTCATATTATCGAAGCTTCGTGAATCCTCGGGAGGTTACTAGATGTACGGTATTCTTTTATATAAGACGGCAAGAATGTAATTGCACTGCGAACAGAGAGAGAATATTGTTGAGTCGAGCATGTAAGACGCTCGTTGTGAATTATAGCGTTTGTTATAGCGCGACTGTGGAAATTAAGTGTATCGCAAAGCTGTATTCAAAAAGAATAAAACCAGTATTATTTAAGAAAGGACTTGTATCGCTAAAGTTTCATCGGAAAATATTTTTACGGAAAACAAACTAACGAACGGAGGCGTAACACTATCATATTTTTTTGGTGGCTAATATTTCAGTTTTTTCCCATAATATTGTGTGTTGTGTTTCCTGTATATGTTTTGCTATGGATGAATTTTCAGTTTGTTTTTTTTTACATATCCCTTATGCTCATTTAAACGGTATTTTCAATTAAGTTTTGTCTGACCAATGTAAATACTTCCACATTCACATTCTATTTTATATATTCCAGTTTTTTCAGTTAACTGTATTTCGTCTTTCATACTACCTAACATTTGATTTGATCTTATTTATCGATTTAAATATAGGGTATAATATCTGTTGTTTTTAAACAATTTAAATAAACTAGTAGTTAAACCTGGAACACATGGTAAAATTAAGACTTTCTTTCTATTTTTTAATAACTAGGTTTTAAAGTAATAATTTGATCAATTATTATAGCATTAGTGAATTTCTTAACTGCCCTATCTATAATATTCGGATTAAAACCTCTTTCGACTGCTATATATTTAATTAATAACAATTTGTTTTTAAAATCCTTTTGGTTAGTACATATCTTCAAAGCTCAGTTAACATAACTATGAAACGTAGACATTTTTTGTGACCTAGTATGATATGATTCCTGGTGTGGGGGCATAAGAACAGAAAAAGGTTTCCGGTAAACTGATGTTTCTAAATTACCTTGTAGATTCGTTTTCATCAATACATCTAGAAAAGGCAAGCTATTATTTTCTCAGTTTCAAACGTAAATTGTATAGATGGTTCAATGATGTTCAAATATTAAGCAAACTCTGTGCTACGACAGCGGAGGTCACGTGACACTTGTAACACGTCATGCGCTTCTAGAACGTTCATGAAACCTTGAGAGGTTACTAGATATGCGGTATTCTTGTATATAAGCCGCCAAGAACTGACGGCAACAATGTGTAATTGAACTGGGGACAGGGGGAGACGTATTGTTGAGTCGAGCACGTGTGACGTTCGTTGTGAATTATAGCATTTGTTATAGCGTGACTGTGGAAATTAAGTGTATTGCAAAGTTGTATTTAGAAAGAATAAACCAGTTTTATTTAAGAAAGGACTTGTACCCACGACCTTCAGATTGCGAGTCGAGCACCCTAACCGCCTGGCCATGCCGGGCCGCCTGTATGGAATAATAGCTTTTAAAAAAAGATGTGGGCCCAGCATAGCCAGGTGGCTAGGGCGCTTGACTCACAATCTGAGAGATGTAGGCTTCATTCCCCGTCCAACCAAATATGCTCGCCCTTTCAGTCATGAGGTGTTATAATGTGAGGGTCAATCCCACTATCCATTGGTAAAAAAGTAGTCCAAGAGCTGGCGGTGGGTTGTAATGACTAGTTGCCTTCCATCTAGCCTTTCACTGCTAAATTAGGAACGCTAGCGCAGATAGCCCTCGTGTAGCTTTGCACAAAATTCAAAACAAACTGTTACGTCTCTGTTCGTTTGTTAATTTTCCATAGAAATTATTTCTGAGAAGCTTCAGCGATACAAGTCCTTTCTTAAATAAAACTAGTTTATTCTTTCTTAATTCAACTTTGTAATACACTTAATTTCGACAGTCACTTTAACTTCAACACACGCTACAATTCACAACGATTCACTCACTTTACTTATGGTGCCTACCACCCGCTTGACTCAAATATCTGTGTATATATCTTCAATCTCTCTATCTGCAATTCCAATCAATTATCTCGCTTTCTTTGCCGCGCTTATATACAAGAATAGAGGGTATTTGGCAAAGACTAGAGTTGCCAGGAAAAGACAGGATCCTTCTAGAAACCCCAGTGCGCATGCTTCCAGCGTCGCGTGACTTCCGCTGTCGTAACAAAACCAATTAAAAAGGATTACAAAAGAGAGAAGTGTTATAATTGTGAGAAACATAACTATTAAAGCTGAGATTGTAAGGAATCAACAGCTGTTACTTAGACAAGGAGACAGTACCAAGAAGATGTATCTCGGAGCCCAACCAGATTGAAGGAACAACAAAGAGAATATGGGCCATCTCATCTATACAACATAATTCTCTGAAAAGAAAACCACCAAAAAAACATGGTGAATGGACAGTTTTAGTGTACTGATTTACTTGTATATTATGACTGTTCAACAGTCTTCACAGTACTGGATAGGAGGTAATATTATAAGCTACATTTTTAATATATTTTTTATATGTTTGTTTGCTAGAGGACACATGACACAATATTTAGAATTTTCATTAACATTATGATATAGAAATTTAGTGTACAAAAAATGAGTACAGTATAAATAAGAGAAGTGGTGAAGGAGTATTAAGTATTCAGTTCACGGCCAGTCTGTCATTTCAGTATGTGAAAAGTTATTCAGTGAGAGTTATAACGACTATTCTGTTACTAAAGTAACTCGGTGAGTTTTTGTTTGTTTATCCATCAAATCTAATTAAAGGTATGTCTCACAGTTTGTATTGAAACATTATATTTGAAATTAAGCCTACAATGATTTCCGAGATTATTTTGAAAACTCTATTAGGAAAATAAGTTTATAACTTCAGTGGGGCTGTGGAAACTTATAGAAAACAAGAAGTAAAAGTTGTCTGGCACAAATGTTATTTTTACCAAATAATCCAGAATATCCTCCCAACGATAAAACAATAGAAGATAGAACACCTTACAACAATAATTTATAGGCCGTGAATAAAAAACGTAAGCCTATAGTGTCCATTTTTTTCTCTCCTTATATTCGAACCAAAAGTTGTTTTACAATACTTTTAAAAAGTACGTTATTTTGCCCTCTGGTGTGGAAAATGACTATTATTTGATATGTAGTTATTGAGTTGACCGTGAAATTTGCAGTAACTGTCTATTAGAGAAACACTAGTAGAAAATATATTGGTGACGATACGATATTGTTGCGTATCTGCTCGTTTGTTAATTTCCGGTATAAATTATTTCCGAGGAACTTCAGCCATACAAGTCCTTTTTTAACTAAAACTAGTTTATTCTTTCTGGATACAACTTTATAATACTGTTACGTCTCCGTTCGTTAGTTAATTTTCCGCAAATTCGTTCCGACGAAACTTTAGCGACACAAGTCCTTTCTTAAATAAAATTGGTTTATTCTTTCTGAATATAACTTTGCGATACACTTAATTTCAACAGTCACACTATAATTCTCAACGAACGTCTCACTTCAACAATACTCCGTTCAGTAACACACTCTCTGACTGCAGTTCAATTACTCATTACCCTGTTCCGTCACGTTGTGAGCGTCTTATATATACCATACTACCCCCAATCTAGTAATCTCCCGACAATTCACGAAGGTTCGAGAAAGAAGTGGCGTGATACTAGTCACGTGACCTTGCTGACGCAACAATACACATAATTTCCACAGTCAATACTGTTTGCAATCTCGATAACAAAACACACACTTTATATTACCGTCACTACCGCTCGCTTGACTCGATTATCTATCTATCTATCTGCAATTATCATCTCGCTTTATTTGTCAGGCTTATATACTACAAATGAGAGCGTCTGAAACAGAACAATTCACGATCCTTCAAGAATCTCATCACGTGACTAATGCTGTCGTAACAATATACTAGTGCAGCTCTAATGTAGAGGACAATGTTTAGAACGTTTTCCACCTTTTGTCTTTAAGTATCTTTAACTACAGTATAAGTACAAAATTCTGGGTTTAAAATAACTATTACGCTTTCTAAGAAACACTTAGTTCATGAATATAATAAAGTTTTATGCCAGATAGGAATATATATTGGGTGTCTAACATTAATAATAATGATTAGAAGACCTGGAGGTATTACAAATGTACAAATAATAGTAGCAGCAGTAGTTGGATTCGTTTCAGGGGTATATATTTGGAATTCACCTTTAGAAAAATATGCGAAGAAAAGACGGAATGAATTAAGTAAACATGAAAATCAACGTTAGATTACTACTAGTAGGATGCAGAAGTAAAATAAAGACCTAAGCTCGTTGGACTTGTGTAACGGTAAGTTATACTTATAAGTTATAGTTATACTAACGTTAACCATTTAACGTGAAATTTGAATAAATTAATAAGCCTGATTTATTCTAATAGTAAAACTAAAAGTAACAATGGATTAATCTATAGATTATATAGCCAATAATTATATAAAGTTAAACAAGGTCTTGTTACTGTTAGGCTGTCTCCGATTGTAAACTTGTAAGTTATACAGTGATAATGAAAAAGTGAAACTAGGTAAGAAGCCTGAGAGTTTTCTTTTGTTTTAACTGTTGTTACATTTACATATACATGTTAAAGTTGGTCCGATCTATGATATTAAATAATGGATCTGACGAAATGTCATAACATTATTCACATGGCTAAATTAATTTAGGTTTAGGCCCTTATGCAGAATGTTTGAAAGAGGGGTTCTAATTTGTGAGATCAAAAGCCAACACATATGTATTAACATAACATTTTGGGACAACATGGGACTTATTGGTCCATCTCGGCTGTTCCATCCTCTAAACTGAATTAAAATGATTAAAAAAAAATAAACCCAGCCCTTTTCATTCATATACTTATCAAGTTTTTTCTTAAACTCACTTAAATTTACTGCCTCTACAACATCTGAAAGCAACTCATTCCAAAAGCCAACCACCTTGTTAGAAAAATGAAAATGTCTTAGCTGAAGATGACTCTTACCATGCCAAAATTTACATTTGTGGCCCCTAGACCTACTTTTATCATTGTTAAATATAAAAAAGATTATGCATCAACACTATCAATTTACAATCTTAAACAGCTCAATCGGATCCCCTTTAACTCTTCATTTTCTTTCAAGAGAACACAATTTGAGAGATTTCAGCATCTCCTTGTATGACAACCCCCTCCATCCCAGGCACCATTCAAGTAATCCTTCTCTGAACTCTTTCCAACAATTCAATGTCTTTCCCGAGGTAAGGAGCCCAAGACTGAACATAGTATTCCAAATGTGGCCTAACCAGTGACCTGTACAATGAAAGTATAACCTCTTTTGACTTGTATTTAATATTTCTGTAGATACAACCTAAAATCGTATTTGCCCTACCACCAGTAATAGCACACTGTTTGGATGGCTTTGGAGACAGATGGACTATTACACCAAGATCCTTTTCCTTCATAACACTATTAAGGTTATTCTCATCCAAATTATACGTATAATTCAAATTATGAGAACCCACATGCATTATCTTGCATTTATTATAATTTAAACCCATCTGCTATTTATTTGCCCAACTCACTAAATGATCTAAATCCTTTTGTAAATCAGTATCATTCTCTTCACAGCTAGCAACACCCAAGACCTTAATATCATCTGCAAAAATAAGGAATTTATTGATTATCCCTTCATCGATGTCATTGATGTAAATCAAAAAAAGCAAAGGTCCTAAGACTGAGCCCTGGGGTACCCCACTTGTGGCATTAATCCAGTTTGAATGAACTCCATTTGTAACAACCTTCTGCTTTCTTCCATCCAGCCACTCTTCTATCCAATTTGCTAACTTAACCCCCACACCTACAGAGATCATTTTTTTACAAGCCTTTTATGTGGCACCTTGTCAAATGCTTTTTGAAAATCCAAATACACCAAATCTCAACACTCTTAACCTCATCTACATAAGCAGTAACCTTTTCAAAGAATGTTAAAAGATTTGTAAGACAAGATTTTCCCTTAGTGAAGCCATGTTGACTATCCAATAAAATTCTAAACTTTGTTAAAGGACTTTGAAAAGCATCTTTTAACAGACTTTCCAAAATTTTTCCTACAACTGATGTAAGACTAATGGGTCTATAATTACTGGAACAATTTTTATCACCTCCCTTGAAAAGAGGAGTTACATTCGCTAACTTCCAATCTTCTGGTACCTGCCTACTATTCAAGGACTGACAAAACATAATAGTAAGTAGCTCACATATCCAATCTTTAACCTCTTTGAAACCCTTGGGGAAATATTATCTGGCCCAGGAGACTTATCATTTTCTTAAATGTCCCAATTTTTTATTAACCAGATCACAATTAATGCAGTCATCTTGTTTGATCTCATTTCCATTTAGCAACTGATCAAGATGTGGAATACTGCTTAAATCTTTGTTAGTAAAAACTGAAGAAAAAACAAAATTTAATAACCCAGCCATCTCATAACCATTAGACACTAGCCTTCCTTTATGATCCCACAAGGGTCCTATCCCCATCCTAACATTTTGTTTACCCTTAATGTATTTAAAGAAATCCTTACTGTTAATTTTTACATTTTCAGCTAACCTTTTGTCATATTCCTTTTTTATGTACTGATTTCCTGTTTCACCACCTTTCTTGATCTTCTATAATCTTCTAAATCTCCTGTCATACCAGTTAATTTAAATTTCTTAAATTCATGATGCTTTTCTTTAATTTTATTTCTTAAACTGTATGTAAGCCAAGTGGTTTTTTTACTTGTAGCTACCTTTCTCTTTCTATAAGGAACATGTTTACCTTGAATATTTAAAAATATATTCAAATAACTCAGCTGCCCAATTCACAACAGATAATTATTGTTGCATCCCTTCAAAATTTGTTTTTTTGAAATTTGTAACCAAAATATCATTATTCCTTATCTCCATATGCAGGAAGACATTGAGCTTAATAGAGCAATGATCACTTGCACCCAGATATTCTTCAATTTCCACCCTCTCAATCATTTTTGTATTTGAAGTTAACAGTAAGTATAAAATAGCATTGTTTCTAGTTTTTTCCTTGACTAACTGGTGAAGAAAGCCATCCTGAACATTTTCCAAAAATCTTTCTCCCTCATGATTTGACTCTAGAATTTCCAAATCTATATGCCTGAAAATAAAATTACTCATAATTATGACTTTATTAACAGCTGAAATCTTAATCTCGTTTAGGGTCTCATTAATTTCATCAGTATCATTTAGTGATCTGTAACAAATTCCAACTAAAATATATCCACTATATATCCTCCTTACATACTAACATTAATTTATATCCACTAATAGAAACCCAAATGGGTTCAATGGGTTCAAATGGATTCAATCTTTTTGCTATTATCTTTGATATCTTCAACTTCAACAGGATACAACTCACATTTTACATATAAAGCCACTCCTCCACCTTCTTTAATACTTTATCCCAATTAAATAGCCTGTAACCGTGTATTTCAAAGAAATTTCTGTCATCAAAACCATCTAAGTTTAAACATGTTTCAGTTATTCCCATTATATCAAAATCCTCGATTTCTACCAGTGCTCTAATGTCATGTCTTTTATTTCTTATACTTCTAGCATTACAATAGTAACAATTAAGCCTATCCTTATAACTACTTCTATACTATTTTCCTATGCTAAACTTTCTCTGCCTCTTATTCTTTTTGCATTCACTTTTTCCTGGCCCTCACCACTGCCTAGTTCTTGTTTAAAACTTCCCTTACAGCTGAGTTAAAGCTTTAGCAAACAAGTCAGCCCCTACTCTATTTAAATGTAAACCATCCATTGCAAAATGCTCCCTTCTTCCACTGAACTGATCCCACAAGTTCAACCAGCCATTCTGCACCTCCTTACATACTAACTTAAGCCTAGCATTTAGCCCTAGTGACCTACTTATAACTTCATCCCCACAGTTAATTCTGGGCAGTATCCCAGATAAAATTTAGTTATGAGCATTTTCTTTAAATGCCTTTATCAATCCCTTGTATTTATTAATTAGCTTCTCTGACCTACCTTTCCAGTCTGTATTTCACTGGAGAAGATACGGGCCTGAGTTGCCCGTGTGTCGGCTTGCGGCTACAGCTTCCAGTGAATCCACACCTGCTGCTTCATCGTTCACCCATTGCCACAAGGCTTTGGTAGATGAAGATGACTTGTACATGAGTTGGATTTAAGTGAGGGAGAGTTGCACAGTGTCAGCTTCACTCTCTTGTCTGGACACATCAGGCACCAGTAGCAAGACCTGGTTAAGATGAGTGAAAAATGAGTCAGGATGCAGGAGCTGCTGGAATGGTGACAGAGTTAGACTATAAGATAATAGATCTCAGGCTTTGCAAGGGGCATGATACTTAATTATAGTATTGTTATTACAGATTAGTTCTATCAATAGAAGTATTCAGAAAGGAACAATTTTCCACTGAAGAAAGCATTAACTTCCAACTGCTGTTGAAAAACCAAGAAAAAGATATTTGGATAGGTTTGTACAGTGCAACAGACACCAGTTGATCAATGTCATAACAGTCATTAAGATTCAGTTACATAAATCTCCAACTGTACCATATGAAGGACATTACAGAAACTGTCATATGGTAGCATAACGTCACTTGTATTAGATATAACTTGGAAAGTATTGCTTTAATGATGTTTATAGTGTAAATAGTGGACAGTGACTGGAAGCACGTAATGTAGTCTGACTAATATTTTATTCCCCTTTTGTTATGATTGTATTAATAATGAGAAAACCAGATGAAGTACTTGAACTTGTTTCTGATATTTTAAACTGTATAGGATAAAATTTTAATAAAAACTTTTCATGAAAACACAGTATTTTGCCAGATCAGGGACATAGCAAGAGCTCATATTCAATTCTTCTACTTGTTCATAATTTTACCATTAAACATGAAGTGCAGTTTTTGTGAAGTAGCTTGAAATTGTTTTAAATAAAATTTTTGTAATACCTTTAACAAAATCATTTTCAGAAAATGCAGATTTATACAAGGATAAAGGGTTCCAGCCAGTGATAAGCATGTTAAATATCTCAGTATCATAACTGACACAGTTGAAATTATCACTAAATTGCTTATGCTTGAAGTGTTTAAAAACCCAATTGATAAATGTTAGATATGTATTGTTTCAATAGTTACAATGGGCCTAATTGTACTCTTTTTCCCCCTCCCTCCTCAGCATCAGAAAAACAGGTATTTTAACTTCCCTAACTACAAACGAGGATAACTGTATTTAAGCACATTTGGGTAACGTTTTTTTCTACAATTTTTAGC